CTGACCCAGCCTTGAGGACGGCAGCCTGACAGTCTAATTTAGAAGCGTTGCTTAAAATCTTAATCAGTGTTGAAATTAACAGAGGCGAGTATTGACACCATGTTTATTGTTTATGGTTATCATTTTTAATAAACGTTAAGATGTTTTTGCAGGTGTGGAAAAAGGCACGTCCCTGAGACAGGCTCTCTTGGCTCTTTCAGGAAAAGAAAAATGTCATTGTGGGGAATGAAGACGTAACACATTCATCAGAGCCCGCCTTCCTTTTATTCTGTGCTTCCCTGAAAGCTATCTGCTCTCCTAAGCCCAAGTCCATCTTCTCTGCACAAGTGATATCTTGATTGACACATCTCCAAATAAGCTTGTGAATAGCTTTCCGTATTAACCTCAGAATAATTCAGATGTCAAATTACAGCTCGCAGACTCTCTGACTCCGCACAAGCCCCAGAATGAATTTTTTAAATATTTGGGAGAAAATATTAAATTTTGTTCAGGTTGGGTCAAAGTTCATATCATTTGGTAATAAAGAGCCGCAGAGGGTGTTTGCCCAGAGTGGGCTGCATTGATTTTATTTTGTGCAACAGCTGCAGATCTGGGTGACCCTTGGTGGGTTGTTTGGTGGTTGCTTGTGCTGCGGGCAGCTTTCGGTATTTGGGAAGTTTGCTGTGGGTTTCCTTTGGATGGCAAAGTGGGGAAGAAAGGAAAGGAAAGAAAAAGAAAGGAAGAAGGCAAGAAAGGAGACGCACGTTTTGTCGCCTCCCAAGTGCAGGACACTTGGCTGATGTCATCTCTGAATCTCTAAATATGCAGCTTTAATTGCAGCTCTCTGCAGAAGGAGAATGCTTCCACACTTGTTTTCGTTACTATTGCAAGGCAGCAAGGCACGTCAGCCTGGATTCCTGTCCTGCCGACTCTGCAGAAGCATCCTTGCAGGCAAGAAGGCAAAGCCGTGCTTGCTGGAGTGATAATGACCACTTGGTGGGATATTTGGTGGATGCTCTGTAATGTGTGGCTGAGAAAACTCATTATTACTGGCTGTTTGTGTAGCTGTAAATATTTAACCAGCAATGTTACCTGCTTTGTGGAAAGGCTTGTTAATTATACCTGCTTCTCTCTATAATTACATATTGTTGTAAAATGCTATGATAATAACACAACTGTGTCTTTCTCGTGAGGGGTAAATTTATACCAACTACGGCCCCTGAATTTCCATAAGCAATTAGCCTGCACATTTACATCCCCGTGTTTTCCTGTGATTTTATTGAAAGGGGAGATAATGAATTAAATCCAATTATAGCAAGAAGACATCTAGTAAGTTGATGCGTATTTTCGTAAACAAAGCAAGGAGGGAAAGCAGGCTACTGCTCACCACAGTGGAAGTGGCTGGATAAATCAGAGCAATCAGTCTCCTGGCAGGGACTCTGGAAAGCAGCCCCGATGGAGACTGGGGTTCTCAGGACAGGGTGCATCTATGAGCTGCATATTTCCGGTGTAATGCACGTGGAGAGTTGCCTGTGGCTTGCAGCCTAATGCCAGGTAGAGCATCTCTATAAGAGAATAAGTTTCTGCCTCGACCATAGCAAACCCAAGGCAATCGCCCACCATTCCCAGGGTCTTTTGAGGAAGGTTGGAGGTAGAACCCGGAACTCTGGGAAGAGGAGACAAACACCCTGAATTTACTACTATGGAGTACAAGTATTCTTCCTCCTTGGGCATCTGGGTTTTTTGGGAAGTGTAGCAACTGCAGCATCTCTCTAGGCTGCATTTGCTACACCCCAAGGCTCAGTCAGTCTGCTTTAATCAGGAGGCTGTTTATTCAAAAGACACAGAGCCAAAATGCTTGAGAGGCCAAACAAAGCCCAGAAAACAAGCGCCGAGAGGTGCACTCTTTCCACCAACTGCACCTTTATTATCTTCTTTCTCCTTTTGCCTCCTCAGAATCTTTTCTCTCCAGCCCCTCCCCCTCTGTGTAAATGTAAACATCTTGAAATGTCAAGTGCAAGGAAGTGACCCTTCCTTTAGCAGCACAGGGAATGATCAGGCCCCCTGATGTCCTTGTCATTTCAGACACACATAAAATTCCCAGATTACAGACTTTCCAGAACAGTTTGAGCCTGGTGACGAATCGGCGTTTGGGTTCCAGGATCATGACTATTCCTCTTAACACGTCAGTAAACAGGACGATGGCGACATTACTGCATCAAAGAATAAGAGGAGCCGGCCTGGCCTAGGCTGGCCAGTGAACACCAGGCTGGCTGAGGACCCGGGACTGATAGGTTGTCCTGCCCAGCTCTGCCAAGGGACTGCATTCTCTTCGATTTCCTCTCAGGGGCCAGGCTGAAGTGAGGCTGCCTAACAGTCTACTGTCGATATAGTAAAAATGCTAACTCGCTCTATCTAATCCATTCCAAGGGAGAGCTCTTTACGTAAATGCCCTGCTCCATTTCTTCATTTTCAGAAAAGGCAATCAAATAAGATTGAACCGTATGGGCTGCTGTACAGCGCATTTGTGTGTGTTTTAAAAAGCACAGTGATTAATTTTGAAACACAGCATTTTGTGTTGTCTTTGACTATTTTCTTCCTTGCCATTTTTTAAGAGCTCTGAAAATCAATGATATGCTTCACCGCCATCCATCTTTATATAGTAATAAATTAAGTGGGAGGTATTGATATTTTTGACTGAGCTTTTAAAATTTACATACTAATGACAACTATACTCTGGTGACTCCTGATTCCTGCTGCCATGTACTGTTCCTGGGGTGGGGGAGAGGCTCGCCTATTTGCTCTGAGGTTCCCAAGTAGCTCAGACCCTCAGTCAGTGGGAACAGAATGGGCCCCAGGATTGTGTCCCCCTGCTTTCCACATGTTAATCCTTCCGAGCTGGATGACAGGAAACGGTGTTCTGGGGGAAGGACCAGAGTGGGAGGCCACTGGTCGGGTGGTATTCATCCCACAGTATACCACGGTCCAAGGTTTAATGTGGGTGTGTGGGGGACACAAGCGGTTTCCTGTGGTCTCCTTTCCTAAGCTGTTGAAATTTGGGGGAAGTCACAAAAGCATCCTGAGCCCCTTTTATTCCTCAAAGGAAAATGAATCAGAATTTTGATATTGAGAGCCATGGTGAAGGTGAGCTCCTGGTGGTTTCTGAGTCTGAGCCATATAGACAGTGTCTGCCTGCTCTCTCTTCCCTCCAGAAAGGGTAGGTGCCTTAACATTCCAGAGTCTTGGAAGGCAAGGCCCCTGGGGGACTGGACTCTCTGTGCCTCATCCCTTCAGACAGTGAGGCTACAGCTGCTGCTGCCCAGAAGAAAAAAAAAAAATGCCGCAAAACTGGTGCAAAGACCTCAACTTCCTTAACACAATTATTCTGGGAACTTGGGACAGCCTTGATGTGCACAACAGTTTATTTGCAGAGATTAATTTGTCAGTAATATTGATTGTTGGGGGCCTGTTCCATTCTATTTAAGATTCCATAAGGCACAGACAGCAGCAGCTCGTTCATGGTCTGTCCCTCCAGAATATCCAGGATGTGGCAGAGGCAATCAGAAGAACCACGGCCAGGAAGTTCTGTCAGACCAGATACTGTGAGGCCAGTCCCAGAGGAAAGGGGACGGGGGCAGATTTTGTTTACATTTTGTCAAAGCAGCAATAAATCGCTCACATGGAGACTCTCTCTTCTGCCTTGCAAGACCTTTCCAAAGTGTGTCACCCAGCAATTGGGTACCCAACACCTAGAGAGATGAGTGGAGCATTCCTCGACGCATCCCTTAAATCATTACGTGGATCATCGCAATATTAAGACCGTTGAAGGCTTGCACCTCCGGTCGCCTGCTGCACGAAGCCTGCTCAGTCCCACTCTGCGGTCCAGGAAGTGCCTTAGCAAGCCAGAGTGTCTGGAAAGAAAGGAGAGAACGGGCGGGCGGCCGCAGAGGTGTGGAGGAGAGTCACTTTCATCAGCCCGGCTTTTAGGATGGTTGGGAGCCCCGAGCGCGATCAGGTTACACTCCCCTCAAACGCGCCTTGTTCGCCTCTTCCCGCCTCCCCCCTTCTTTCTTTTCTTTTGAGTGTTTTTGAAATGAAAGAGTTTTTTCTTCCAAATTGCGCTGGGAGGCAAATTCTTGAACGGTGTAATAGAAAATGTTACACAATATTCCTTACCGGAGCTATTGACATTTTGGATAGTTGTGACACTTTGATTTTTCTCAAAACATATGGATCAAGCCTGGTTGCCTTATTGGACAGGAAGTCCTGATGAAAGCCCCTCCTTTATCTTCCTTTGTGTCCTCCCCCCCTCTGTTTGCTCATGGCTTTCTCTCTGAATATAATCGCGCTTTTCTTAGGCTGTCCGGGGAGTCGTTATTGCCTTACTAAATATTTCATGGAACAGAGCCCACGGTACCTGCCAGCCATCTCGTATCTGTTGTCAAAAATAAAGCGTTCATCCTTTGGAAGGGGAAAGAGAGAGAAGGTTTATTCTGTTGTTTTTATTTTAAAGTTTCTCACACGCAGCAAATGCACAAAGCCCCTAGAAGCCTAGGAGGGGTGTCTTTCATTCGTCCAGGACAAGGATGGCCACTTATTTATTTACTTGTTTATTTACAGCTTATTCAGCCGAGGAATGCTCTTGCCGTAGTAGATTCTCAGCACTGTTTCCTTGCGGGGTCCCTTTCCTATTTGTTCTGAAGGGAAAAGTTCAAAGCGCCTCTGTCAGCGGAGGGAGAAGCTTGCTGCATACTAACCCTCCAGCCCCCGCCCGCCCGCGATGACCTTGAGAGAGAGGCACTAAACGGCCCCCTTGCAAACCTGCATGTGTGTTTTGTTAGACCAGGTCGGCAGGGGTCAGGGCTCACCTGAGGCCAGCAGCCGGCCTGCCTGCCTGAGCAGCAGGGTAATGCATTTTTAAAAGGGACATTCTCGCCTTTGAATGGGCTTAATATGGTCTCTGTTTAAAAACCTGTCAGAATCCCAAGCACACACTCCATAAAATATAAATAAGTACTTACTGTTTGCAGATGTTGCTTGTTTTTCATAATGTTTGTGTTTGAAGTCTCGAATCCTCACTTCCTGTCAGGCTCCCTCTGCCTCTCCTCCTGGTTTCTGAAGGAACAAGGGGACTTCAGATGGCAATTTCCCAATGAAGACACTTTCTGTTACATCTGTCAGTGTCCCTGGCACAATTAGCATTTCCTTTTTCCTCTCTCTCTCT